TAAAAATTTCTCGCCATCACTTTTTTAAGGAGTTTCTCTCTCTCATTTCTCGTCATCACTTTTTAAGGAGTTTTTAATGAGCTGACCATATCTGACCATATATCTTGTGTGCTATTTATATTTATATATTCATGGAGAATATTTACGCCGTTTTTAATCCCTAACCTGTTTTGACCCTAAGCAAAACAGGATGGATTTTATATATTATTATACAAATTTTTACATATATATATTTTGAGTAATCCCCATGATTTTAAAATTTATAATCATCTTCAAAACAACACCCTGTGCACTATATCAGAGCTTGCAGGTGTGAGTAATTTTCCCCCTGGTCTGTACAGTGGTCCCAAAGGCGCTATGAGAAGGTTTTTGTTGAATAACTTGGAACAGTCAATACTGTTCCTGTATCTCCTCACACTGCCAATAAAATGGCGCCACACTACAGAAGACTTCCTGCTGTGGATCGCATCGCGATCCACGACAAAATGGCGCCGATTATTCGCGCATGCGCAGTAGCTTGGGAAGACAACGCCGACGTTCTGCGCATGCGCCGATAGCCGAGAAAATGGCGGGCGCATTAGGCAAAATTGCCATTTACATTTATAAATAGCACCTAAGAAGATGTCCTGGCTAGCCCTGAACCCTATGAATACGTGCATCGCACGAAACGCGCCAGAGGGGCAGTAGCAGCAGGGACACCTAACCACCGTTGGTGGACACCCTGGAAACATATGGTCAGTAAACCTTTCGTTCAAAATCTTTTATGTACCCCACACCAACCAACCCTGAATAAAGGTATCTTAGGCATTATCACGCTGTGAGGTCTCATTGGGCACTCTGTGTGAGTGCTATCATTCGCAGTGCCCATCTGGAGGACTCAGGACCCTGGTGGTGATACCTGGTAGCAGTTTCGGATGACCTTACTTCTGTGGAGCCGGGATGGTGATCTGGGTGCAATCTGATCTGGGATCTGATGATCGTTCTATGGCCTGGTGACGCAGGATTACATATTGCGTATGTTAAACGCACATCTGGTGAGTGCGTTTTTCACCTATTTGTGTGGTTCACACTTATCATCACACCTTGGATCAGGACGTCCACTCACCTGGAATCAGGATCTCTCTATGATCCGCACTATTACATTGAACTTTTGTATTTATAGATCACCATCAGAGTGATATCACGCATGTGCATATATTGTATGTATAAACTGTGTTCTATTATTTAGCGCTGCACCATTCTATTTGATATATACCAGCAACAGTGTTTGCCAACCTTGTGAAGACTTACAGGAAACGTTTGACCTCTGTCATTGCCAACAAAGGATATATAACAAAGTATTGAGATGAACTTTTGATATTGACCAAATACTTATTTTCCACCATAATTTGCAAATAAATTCTTTCCAAATCAGCCAATGTGATTGTCTGGATTTTTTTTTCTCTCATTTTGTCTCTCATAGTTGAGGTCTACCTATGATGCCAATTACAGGCCTCTCTCATCTTTTTAAGTGGGAGAACTTGCACAATTGGTGGCTGACTAAATACTTTTTTGCCCCACTGTATACCACAATTTGGGAGTTCATTGTTTATCATTTTCTCCTTTGGGGGTGTGTACTACCCGCTCTCTTTTGATGCTCGCTGCTTGTCCCACTGCCGCACGTTGTGCCGATATGTTTCATGTGAGAAGATTTCTCTCCCCTACCCGGTCCTCCTTCTTCCTGTTCTTCTCTTCTTCTCTTCTTTGGTCCTTTTCTTTTCTTGCCCTTTCATTTCTATTTTTGTACTTCTTCCCCCTTTCTACTCCTCTACCCTCCTTCTTACTCCCCCCCCCCTTTTCTTTTCTTTTTTTCTCTAGCTCCATCTCAGGATGGCGTCCAGGACACCACCTCCTACTCCCCTGAAGCTTTGTTCTTATAATGTCAATGGGCTCAATAACCAATCTAAGAGGGGACAAATATTATATTCCCTGCATAAGCCCCAGGTTGACATTGCGTTGTTTCAGGAGACTCACATGCTGACGGCCTACCGGCATGCCCTCAGAGATATTACTCTAGGTGGTTCCATAGTGTCCTTCCCTCGTCTAAATCTAGGGGCGTCTCTATCACTATTCATAAACATCTTCCAGTTCCCTCTTTGGACCATAGGGTGGATCCCAATGGGCGGTACCTTTTTGTGAAGTTTTCCCTTTGGAACAGGATGTACACCGTGGCTAACTTCTACGTCCCTAATCAGGATCAGGTTACCTCTGTGACTCGCTATCTGCGACTTCTTGCTGATTTTGCAGAGGGTATGGTGTTGTTGGGAGGTGATTATAATGTAGCTTTGGAGCCTCTCCTTGATTCCTCCTCTCGTCGCTCTCAACTGTCTTACAGCTGTCTTCGCCTTCTGAAGAAACAGTTTCATAATCATCGACTCTTGGACCTCTGGCGTTCGCTTTACCCCGAGACTCGTAACTATACGTATTTTTTGTCAGCCCATCAATCCTATAGCCGCCTTGATTATTTTTTTACTAATTTTTGCTAAAGGTCAACTTAACGAAGATGGAGATTCTTAACGTTTCTATGTCACCTCCCCGGTTCCGTGAGCTTGGGGATAACTTTCCTTTTAAGCTTTGCCCTGGCTCCCTCAAATATCTGGGTATTAAAATTCCTACTAATCTCTCTCATATTTTCTCTGAGAATTATACTCCTCTACTTCAATGCACGTTACAGGATCTCCAGAATTATCACCGTTCCTTGTACTCCTGGTTTGGCCGGATCAGTATATTGAAAATGGATGTTGCCCCCCCGCTTTCTTTATCTTTTCCAGACTCTGCCTATTGCCATCCCCAGGCCCTTCTTCAGGTGCTTACAAACTGCTTTTACGAGATTTATCTGGGGTCCTCAAAGGCCGAGACTACATAGAACGATCCCAAGCAGCGGGACGATGCAGGGGCTCCCGATATGCGTCTTTATCATGCAGCGGAGGCTCTTACTCATTTGTCGAACTGGTTTCATCATGCCTCTATGAAGCAGTGGGTTTCTTTGAAATGAGTCATGGTAGTGTGTGATCTGTTGACCCTTCCCTGGATAGTTGCTACATCTTGGTGTCCATCTTCTTCCTTACCGTTTCTGACTGTTCAGCTTCTGCAAACTTGTGATAGTGTGGTACTGCGGCTTTGGGCCTCTTCCTTGGTTGATCCCATGACCTCTCTGTTTGGAAACCCCCAGTTTCCCCCGACTCAGTTGTGTGGACATTTTCTTCATTGGAGCAGGGCCACTCATAGGCGTTTGGTGCAAATACTTAGTCATGGAGTATAGACAGCTTAGTTCTTTTCTGCGTATCTTTGCTGACCTTGATTTGTTGACTAGGGATCCCACACCGCTCGAATCCTTGTTCCTTCGGGATCTTCCCCCTTTGCAACCTCTCAGATTTATCAGATCCTGCTGGCCACGGTTCATCCGGACCTTCCTCCGTATAACTCCAGGTGGGCTGGGGCCCTTGCTGTACAGATATCGGATGAGGACTGGTTGAAATACTTTACCCTTACACACCGTTTGTCACTGACCAGTAGGGCTCAGGAAACCAATTTCAAATTGCTCACTTGGTGGTACAGATGCCCCACCTTCCTTAATAGGATCTTCTCTTCCACCGCTGATCTCTGTTGGCGTTGTCGGGCTGCCCCTGGCTCTCTTCTTCATATCTGGTAGGAATGTCCCCTTATTTACGCATATTGGGATCTTATCTTGCGAGTTTACTCGGAGGTTATGGACCAGACGGTCTCCAATACGCCCCAAATTGTTCTTTCTATCCTGCCTGGCTCCTTCAAATGTATCAAACACAGCCTTCTTCGCCATTGCTTGACTGCTGCCAGGCTGGTTATACCTCGCCATTGGAGAACTAACTGTATCCCGACTCTTTTTGGAGTGGGTTGAGGAGATGGATCACATTGGAAGCATGGAGTCGCTTTTGGCTCAGGAATTGGGTACTTCGGAACGCTGTCATCAGAATTGGCTCTCCTGGCATATGTATAGGGAGTCCTCTGCACTCTGTGTTCTCCTGGATACTTGGGCGGGACTTGTCCCTTTTCTCTCTTCTTGGTTCATGTTGGTTTGTTGTCTTACTGGGTGCATTTCCTCAGGCAGATCTATTCTTCTTTATTTTTTTTCCTTTTCTTTATTTTTTCCCTTTCTGTTTCCCCTCTTTCTTTTCTTCTCTGCCCTTCTCCCTTCCCCCCATTATTTTATGGAAGGGGAGGGGTGTGGATTGCTGTGAGGGGTTCCATTGCTCTCTCAAGCTGATTTCACTTGCTCTGTATGGTTCACTGTCCCTTATAGTTTGTGCTGTTTTATTATGGTTTTTCCAGTCTTTCTTATCTGTACCCTTCAGGGGCTGGATATTGATTGTACAACAAGACTATTTGCACTGTACACTTGGGCCTGCAATTGGAGCTACTTAGTGCCAGACTGTTATTGTTTATTATTATCTCATGTTCTCTCGCCTACCCTTCCTCTCCCCCCCTTCCTTCACCCTTCCTTACTACTTTTTGTTGTATTCCCTACCATTGCATTGTTTCTATGCCAATTTGATTGTTTTTGTATAGTTCCTGAGAAGCTTTAATAAACTAAGATTGATCATAAGATAAATTAATGTTGATTAACCACTTGCCCTCCAGAGGATTTATCCTCCTTCCCGACCAGACCATTTTTCGCTATATGGCGCTGCGTTACTTTGACAATTGTGCGGACATGCAACACTGCACTCAAATAAAATTTGCATCCTTTTTTTCCCCACAGATAGAGCTTTCTTTTGGTGGTATTTGATTGCCTGTGAGGTGTTTATTTTTTGTGCTATATAAAAAAAAAGACTGACAATTTTGAGAAAAAAAACAATATTTTGACTTTTTGCTATTAAACATGTCCAGCAAAAAAAAAAAATTAAAAAATCTAATTTTGTCACAAATTTAGGCTAAAATATATTCTGCTACATGTCTTTGCTAAAAAAAAATCCCAATACGTGTAAATTAATTGGTTTACGCCAAAGTTCATTTACAAATGGTGGTATATATACTGGAATTGTAATTTTTTTACTAGTAATGGCAGTGATGAGCAACTAATTGAAGGACTACGGTGGGCATTCTGACACTGGGGGGAACTGACTTGGTGTCACTGACACCCCCAGTGACACCAATACAGTGATCAGTGCTAATTAAAAGCACTGACACTGTACTAAAGGCAATGGGCAGGAAGGGGTTAACATGTGGGGTAACTGTGTGCTGTGTTCCGTTTTACATTGTGTCCTGTGTGTGTGCTTCACTGCAAGCACACTACTTTGCATGGCTGTGCTATGCACAGCCATGCAAAGCAGTGTGCAGGAGCTGACATGGGAGAGAACTGTATTGTTTACAAACAGCTCTCCCCCCTGTCAGAGATGCTCGGCAATCACCGGGCACCGGCGAGTAATCACTGACAGCCGAGGCCGCAAAGTGCAAAATCACGTATACATAGGTGAATTTGCGCACCCGTGCTGCCCTGTAGCAGTACTTCTGCTATAGGGCGAATGGGAAGTGGTTAACTTCTTCCCATCCGCACATAGTCTATAGATGAACTACAGGGAGCTTTGCTGATGTGGGTTAATGTTCTTGTATGTCAGCCCGCATCAGCGGCTCCTGAGCGACTCACAGAGCATTACCGTTGTATCCGGGCGATCACATGGTGTTTTACTATGTGATTGCTGTGTCCAATCACAGCAATCACGTAGTAAACACTAGAAAGTGAAAGTAAAGATCGCTTCTCTTTGCTCTCGGTGTGAGAGCAGAGAGAGGCGATCCTGCAGCCTGTCAGTGCACAGCAGCCTGTAAGGCTCCTTGTATTGTATGCTCACAGACTGCAGTGTCAGCCAGCCACAGTGTCCCAGATCAGTCCCCCAGTGTAGGGACAATAAACAGTGCAGCCAGCCAATGTCGCCTGTCCCAGTTCGCACAAAAAAACACCACCATACAGCATACTAGTGTCCCGATCACCACCATATCAGTGTCCTGATCACTGCCATAGCCCAAATTAACACCCTGATCACTGACATAACCCATACCAATACCCTGATCACCGCCATATGCTATACCAGCAACCTGATCACTGCCATATACCATACCAGTGCCCTGATCACTGCCATATCAACATCCTGATCACTGCCATACCAACATCCTGAACACCACCATACTCCATACCAGTGTTCTGATCACCACCATACCCCATACCAGCATCCTGATCACCCCCTTACCATCTTCCTGTTCACTGTCATGTCAGCATCCTGATCACTGCATACCTCATTCTAATGTCCTGGTCACCACCATACCAGTTTCCTGTCATATGACATACCAGCATCCGGCATTTTAGGGTCTCAACTGATCAATTTTCAAATATATATCCCATAGTTTGTTGACTCTGTAGATGTCACACAGACTAAATAATATACACTGTTTTGGGTTATTTTAACCCCAAAAATGTAGCAGAATACATTTTTGGCCTACATTTATTAAGAAAAATTATTTTTTTTTTTTCAACATTTTCTGTATTTTTCCATTTATATAGCAAAAAATAAAAAGTACAGTCTTGCATGTCTGAATAATTGTCACTCAAAGTGTGATAGCGCTGAAAGCTGAAAATTGTCCTGGACCAGAAGGGGGTTAAAGTGTCTGGACTTGAAGTGGTTAATGTACATTTATAATACCTGGGAGTTAAAAACATGCATGTGTAGCACCCTCCTAGTTTAGCTAGGGGGTGCTAGATCCTAATGGTTAGCCAGGAGCTGGTTATCAGCTCAGGTGTAATAGCCAGAGGGGTCAAATTGTGGTCAGGGCTGAGAAACTAAGGCTAGCCTCTCTGGAATTTCCCCATTTTCTGAGGCTTTTCGGAGGAGGGCCTTGGAGGCAGTGGAGTGGCTGGATGCACTCTTGAGGGACCTCAGCCAAAACAACTGGCTTGGCAAGGGGCTGGGTGTAAGAGCCTGCTCAGTGGCAGGAGTGTGGAGAGTCAAGTGGAAGAAGCAGGAAGGTGTGAGAAGGAAAGCTGCCAGAAGACCTAGAGGGATGGGGCCTGCCTGCGAGCCTGGAGCTGGAGAGGACCAAAACTCGGGACACACTGGCTCCCTGCCCGAGGACCACCTGTATGGCAGGGAAGGAGCAGCCCAGCTGATAGGCCTGGTAGCAGCAGCCAACCCACAAGTGGTACAGGAGAGGATCTGAGTGAGTACACCTGCACCCCCTGGGCGGATAGGGGAAGGCGCACTCAAGTGGGAAACCAGATTATCATACTAGTGACTGTTCACCTCATTTAAAGGGACAGGGGTCAGATCCCCTGCTCAGGAAAAGTCTCCAGATTGCTGGGTGAAGAGGAGTTCATCTAGGGTCTCGGTTGATACAACAAGGAGACGCTGGCTAGCGCTCCATCAGAGACTGTACAGAAGAGAAACTTGTGAATAGTTCAGGAAGTTTGTCCTCAGTTATCGGTTCCTTTGGACATTTTATACCCTCCCTTACCCTATCCAAGTTCTAATCCCCTTAATAAAATACAAAACAAAAGCTCAAGGACTGATTTCTGACTCTGAATGCAAGCTTGAATGGAGAATTCAGAATGCCTGGCTGTGCAGGACTATAGGGGGACCCAATTTATCAGCAACCCCTAAGGTGATAGTGCTACACATGCATAATACAGTCTTGTGAAATTAAATTTGGGTGAATCAGTCTGGTAGATTATAGACAAAGCATATCTGAAATAAAAAAACATGAATATATTGTGGTTTACCAGTCCTTTTTTAATGTACAGTTGTGCTCAAACGTTTACATACCTTGGCAGAAATTGTGAAATTTATAGAAAGAGAATACATCTTCATATAACAATGAATTCTAGTTGCCCTAGAATTCATGTCCCCTAGATCTCAAGGGATAATGTTTCTGATTTCAGGAAATCAAGTTTTCCACTGTAGATAGGAAAACTTGAAGTAGCTCTCCAGGCAAAACACAAAAACATCCTAATGTAAGTTTCAAATATAATTAGTACATTACATATGTGATATTTTTTCATAGCTTGAATCACCTCACCTTCCTATACACTTAAACTAAGCTCTCGATCTAGCACTCTCTGCAGGTGCGCTGATCTCTGTTCCTCTCCTCACAGGACACAGAGACAGCAGCGGGAGCCATTTTGAAGAAAAAATACACCAAATCAATTTTAGTGCACACAAACACAATTTCATGCCCATATATATGTACTAAATAAAAGATGAGGTAGTGTCAAGTAAATAAATACAAAATATGTCAAGCCACAAAACTGTATTTGCCTGCAAAATGGCAAAAAATTATGGTACTCAAAATTATCAAGAGGTAATGTTTTAAATGCCTTTACAGCTCATCAGTTTAGAGTTAATTGTAAATGATGGACCTAGAAAGACTGCTCCCTGTCTGATATGCATGGCAATATATAACATGTGTGGTACAATAGTTTACATACATCCTTGTGCTCAATTACATAGACTTATGTATTTGAAAGTGTGTGTGCAGAGTGATGGCGGTTCTTTGAATTCTTTTTCTCTGCACCCAAAATTTCAGCTCTGATTGTGGCAGCTCATACACAGCAGAGGAGATTGTCATCAGTTATGAGTATTGAGAGAGTTCAAGAAACATGGAAAACGTGAGGGTTCAGTGGGGGATGCGAGTATAATAAAAGTGATGGGGCGGATAAAGAGCCATCCAGATCAATTTTACAGTAAAGCCAGGAGCTGTCTGAAAAGAGTTGAAACAAGCTAACGGCTGTGGTGGCAGCTTGTCTTAACCTCTTATTTGGACGACTTTAGACATACTAGACACATACAAAGGGTTGAAATGGTTAAGTGGCTGTGAGCCTTAAAATAAATCCTGAAAATATCTTTGGAAAGAACTGCAGTCTGGAGAAAGCACCCATTAAACCTCACATAGATGGAGCAGTTTGTTTATGAAGAGTGGGCCAAACTGTTGGCAGGTGCAAAAGACTCTAAGAAAGCTACAGAAATTCTCTGTTTGCAGTGATTATATTAAGGGTCCCACACATTTTTGTCCATGTCCTTTTCATTAGTTTTATTATTTCAAGCTCAACTCCAGGCACAAGAAAAAAAAATACCCTTACAGTGCCCCACCCCCAGCAGTGAAGGGTTAAATGCTATGGTTTGCCTAGGGGTAAAGAAGTAAGGTGTAATAACGTATTCTGCACTCTGATAGGCTCCTTCCATCTGTGAAATCTGTCCCTCACAACCTCCTTTCTAAGGTGCTCATGGCAGCTGCCACACACTTACCTCCTCTCATACAATGCAGAACTAACAGCAGTGCATTGTACGTGATGATGCCAAGGGACTGCACACAGCTCAGGGCAGAAGAGAGCACCAGAGCCTGCCAAAGCGAGGGGTAAGGCTAGCAATGCAGCCTCTTCTTCCACCCCTCAGAATTAAAAAGCATTTAACTCTTACAATGCAGGGGTCAAAAGCAAAATTTGATTTTTATTAAAAATTGGCTAAACAATGATGAATGCCATTTACTTTTGTCAGTTTCAAGTTATTTCAGAGAAAAATGTGGGTTCTTCTCTTTTATGGAGGGTATTGACAAACTTGTCCACAGCTGTATATCCAGAGAAAGACTTGTTTAGTGTTTTTATTACTATTGTTTTTCAAGGAGGTCCATATGCTGGTATGCAATATAGCACTATAGGGCTTCCGTCCTTTCAGGATTCTGAGAGAAATGTCGTGATATAAAGAACAGGCAGAAAAAAACAGTTCCCTGTTTAACCTGAGATTATCCGTGAACAACAAGAAAAGAAAGAGAGTGTGATGAGCGCCCCCCCCCCCCAGACGACATCATGTATGATGAAACCCGCAGTGGCGGTGATGTCATCACACACGTGGACCTCATTGGATGGTCAGGACCAAGTTTGTGTAAGTCTATAGTCACATATTCTTGTCAAGCCATTTTTGTCCTATGATCACGTGAGTGTGCATTTTTCCTTTTTTTTTTTTTAATCTCTGCCTCTGGTACAATGATTTTATTAGTTTTCTTTTTTAAGAGTAACAAGGTACAAGCAAATAATAAGGTCCCTTGCAGGGGACCGCGGTAGAATTGAAACAACCCATGAACAATTATGTAGAAAATGTAATCCCTCAACAAAGGGTGCCACAGAAACAGGTGGTATGATCACCCGACTGAACACACAAAAAGCAGCAAAACGTAGTGGAAGGCTGTGGTGAGAACAAAAAACTAATTGTGGGTGGGAGGGGAGAAGACTTCAAAGAGAAAGAAAATGCGGAAAGAAAGAGAGAATCAAGAGCGAGAGAGAACCTGTAGGCAAGATCCTCTAGTAACGAGAAATACCCATACTCGATGCAGGTAGAGAGGGGTGAGCATAAGACCACCATGGATTT